TCCGTGAGCGAAATCTCCTCCCATCCGTTGTCTGATAATGATTGGCCTTTCGCAAGGATTCCTGTGTAGTTAAAGTGCGTGGAGCCTGCATCTATGCGGGCTTCGTGGAAGACCGCTTCAAGGGTACAAAGGGGGCGCTGCTGAGCACACTTCAGAGCGTTAAAATGCTAAATGGGACGGCCTACGGACTCGTAGACTCGGCGAGCACGCGCAATTTAAGTCCACGAGACCGAAAGTCCGCATGAAGTGCGCCATTTGGGACAGGGCCTGGCTGTCAGCTGTGCTGTGTTTGTGAGAGTGTAAGAGCGAGTGCACTGTGGCAGTGGTTCTCAGGGAGGCACAGGTTTGTGTGAGAGAGGGATTAGACAGCCAGCTGTTGAGCAGATGGAATGTGTGCTATGCGGAGATGAGAACGATTGGGAGCCTGCAACTCTTTCTCTCTTCCTCCCACACTCCCTCCTCCCTCACAACCCGTTATTAGGGACTTTTTTTTCTTCAGAGATGTGTATGAAGAAGATTTCGGTTTTATTTGATCACCTGGCAAAAGCAATATCTATCTTAATATAATGAAGTGTGTATTACAAAGTGCTTAAAAAGAACATGGCAAGTTTGATTTCCTAGCTGTAGTCATCTTGACTGTTGGTATAGCCACAACCCCAGTTTGTCTTTTCTGATGATTTTCTGGTTGACTAAGCATTGCTCTGTCATTTTGCACATTTTTGTATGGACTCACAGAACTTCTCTGGCCCTGTAAGGCTGCGTTTCAACAACCGTCACTAATCAAGAATGTGCTGTTTCGTCTCACCCCACCAGGGGGGAGTAATTTGCAGATTGTGCGTGCCTCTGCGCAAAGATCCACAAAAGAACTCTTTATTTTCTGGATTAAGTGCATGAAAAATTCCTGGAGGTTTTAATCTAAAAGCAAACAGACAAATCAACCCAACTAACAGAATTTAGGACTGTGAAACTTGTTTATGTCTGACTGATCAGGCCTCCTGATAGTTGCAGTGTAGTTTCTCTATCTATAGCCCTAATTCAGGATGCTAGCTAGAGGATGTGAGCCTGTTTTAAGTGCCTGTAGCGGCTCCACAGTGCTCCAGCACTTGCACACATTCACAAACGCACGCGCAGACATGTGGGTGTAGTTACTGGCCTGACCGTTTGGCGTCTGCAGCTCTGTGGGTGTTCTTGGAGACTTTTTTTCCTAATAGTCTGCAAATTCAGTTTTGGATGTTTACCTAGCACCTCTTTATATACACATGCACACTCATTCACATAGAGCTAAACACCCAAACACTCCACTTACACTGCAGCTCGTCTAGACCACTGTCAATTTTTTAAAAATGCTTCCTGAAGTCCAGATACAGATTTTCATATTGATTTAAAGAGTGTTGTAGGGTCAAGTGTGAGCTCTCTCATGACTCAGAGCGTAGCCTTTAAAACCTTTGACCTTCAGCTTATTAACGTATGCAGTTCCTAGGGGATGCTATACAGTTGGTAAGGTGTTCAGGGTGTTTTTAGCATGTTTCTATTTGGTTGCTAGGGTATTATGGCTGTTTGTTACTTAGTAAGAGTTCAAGATGTCTGGTTAGCTAGTCCGACAGTTAAAAAGCTGATTATAGCACGGCTGAATATAGCAACTCTTCATAACAAGCAGGCGCTACACGCCAATGTTTACAACTTAGTTACGGTTTGATCAAATGTTTCTCTTTTCCCTCTATCATATTCTCTTTCCTCTCATTCTGTCACTTTTGTGTTGCCGGTTATATTCATGCAACTCTACTTTTAAAATGAGGGGTGTTTGTTTTTTCCCTCCTCTTCTATCATCTTCACTTCCTCTATTTATTTTCATTTATATATAGTGAAGCAGCAGTTATTCAGAACGTGGCAGGAGGGCGAGACAGAGAGCCTCAACCGTCCGCTCCCTATGAAAACGGCATGCGTGAGAAACAGACGTGAAGCTTTGGAAAGTCAAGTGTTGTGCTTGGAAGCAGCAATAGAAAGAGGTTCCTCGGAGTGCGGGAGCGGAAGGAGAGGAGAGGATGGACACACTGGAAGTGGACTTATAGTTTGAGTCAGCAGAGATGATTTACAGACCCCATGAAACTGGCCAGTCTTGATGTATTCCCTTGTGAAATAGGAAGTTTCATTAGGACATATCAACATTCTCGTCTATTTTTAAATTGATTTATTCCTTTTTTCTTTTCTTTTTTTATAAATGGGCATTAGTTGTGTTACACCCATGCACCATGTGCTGCTACTTGCAGGTTGTATTAGGGGGAGCAACATTCTCATCTCATCAAAAAATCTGTAAATCTTCAGAAAACTTAATTTTGTCAACTTTTAGCATATTGATGATCTCAAAGTTGAAACATATGGACTAAGGGCCTGTTTATACCTGGTCACTGAATGTGTTTTTACTGATCGGAGTGTTATCTGATTTGTTAAACCTGTTCCATTTATATGTGGCCACAAACGTTTCCGCAAAACTAATATAAATTCGATCTTCAATTCTCACCCTATAATAACGGTCTTTAAGTCAACTAAAGAGATACTGAGCAGTTAGTCTGTGGTGGAGCATATCTGTAGCGATGTGTATTGCAGTAGCGCTTTCATATCTGGCCATATCATGTCATAAAGCCTACAACACTTACACGTTTATTTTTTCACACTTGTATATTTTGGGAGGAGTCAAATTTACATGTCGTTTCAACTACCAGATGCATTAACACTTGTCCAGTTTCATCCTAAAGTGGTTTGAGTGATCGCATTTAAATCTTTCTCGTAAGCATTTAGGAGGGCATTTGCACCTGGTCTGATCAGAGAAAACGCATGAAGTGACCAGGTGTAAACAGGCCCTAAACGTTACAAAACACCAATCTTGCTACAGTATAGACTGTGTCTCTACAATGATGACTCCATCTTTCGTGTCAGGGTGGGTTTAAATGAGCTCTCTAAATATGCCAAAAGCAAGGCCACCTTGTATTCTTCCATGTCTGCACAATTACTCATCACTGTTCATGAATAACTCAATTTGTCACCCACACGCACACACACACACACGCACACACACACACAGCATTAGTAAGGTTTTCGTCTCTCGGGGGAAGCCTGCGTTCCCTGTGCCTACCTCCTGGAGTCATGTTAAGGTGATTGTGTATGACATCACTGTTGCCATGACTCATGAAGGCCCAGAGGTGCCGTGAACTCCCACTGTGCTCTCTACTCTAGTAATAAATACACACATCAATCATACACATGTTGTGGATTAGGTTGGATGACAAATAATGTGTCTATGAACCTGTTTTTTCAGCATCAGGTTAATGTTTCTGACTGTAAATATAGGACATTTTATCTTATTAGTTCTATGACTGGACAAATTATAGCCATTATTCTGTGTACTATCATAATTAATATGAAGACAGTAAGTATCAATTTTCTGAAACTTACTATGCATGCGTTTTTTGTCTTCCTATTAATTATGATAGTCATAATGTTTTATCAGTGTGTGGGTATACAGTCAAACCAAAATTTATTCAGACCCCTTCAACATTTCTCAAATTATCACAGTTTATTCGCTATAGTTTAGAAAATGGTTATAAAATACGACAAGAACTCAGTTATCAAATCCGTTTATATTGGTTTGGCCATCCTTCTGTTAGACTTTCTCACAAATGAATTAGGTTGAATAGCTGTCAGCTGTTAAATTTAAGTACACAATTATATAATACCAATTTAGGTCAACCATTTACCAAGCAATGCTTAATTTTGTTCAGTCTGTGGTGTAAAAAGGTCGCATAGCAATTAAAGAAAAAACACTTAAACAAAACTTGGTCAGGTCAAAGTGTCTGAATAATATTTGGTCCCAAATTTGTATAATATGTATACAGGTATAATATGTCACAGTTAACTTTTTTTATTTTGTTATTCTCACTTACATAAGTGAACTATAGTGTCTGGCACCCATTAGTAAAAAAAATATCAAAAATGATATCTGGTGTCTGAATAATTTTTGGTTTGACTATATGTATATGTGTAAAGTAATTTTTATAAATAATAATAATAAATATATATATGCGTGTATATGTGTATATATATATATATATATATATATATATATATATATATAATTTTACTTGTATCATTTATAAAAAATTACTTTACGCATACATTACCAAGGGGAGGCCACACGCACAAAACTGATTTCCAACACTCCAGAGAGTGAAATAAAGCAAAAGGTTACTCCCCAGAAGAGAAGAATCTGCTCATGTGGATCCTGTCTGTTTGGGTCTTCAGTGGAAATGATAAATTAGGGGTTAGCGAGCAGTTGTGGGTATATGTGTGTGTATCCACAGGCCAATAAAGATTTAAAGGTATTCTGTCAGACTGTCTGTCGCTAATGATCTGGTAGATTAAGTGAGCTAATCTGGCCTTGGGAACATGAGGTAATTGAGCATTTTTTTTCCACGTGCAGATTTCAAATTGGCATGGGAGTTGCACACGAGTTATAGATGTGGTTCAGTAGAGAGAGGTAGAAATGCAAGCTTCCGAAAGATCATGTATCCGCTGTGCCAGCGCTCTTTCAGTGGGGTCTGCGGTTATGAAATATATAATTTTCAATGCCTTGTTGTGCAAAAAGTATTGACAGAAGGCGAAAAACAGTTCTCCTCAAATTTATTTTCTATTTTCAAACATAATTCTGTTTTCTCCTTGAATGTGTTTATTTCTTCGTTTCAGAGAAGTCCATTACCTGAAAAGATTATTAGTGGTTACAGGAATAGTTCACCTAAAAAAAAAAATAAAAAAAAAAATGTTTGGGTTTGGAACTACATGAGCATGAATAAATTGACACAATGTTCTTTATTTTTGGGTGAACTTAACCCTTTAACACTTGATGTTTTTCTCCTGCTCCGTTTCTGACTTAAGCCTGACCCCTGCTGATTCATATCGGAATAACCCCCTTTTATTTTTCTGTCTCTTCTTCTTTCTCCCGGCTGCAGATCATGATTCAGACGCAAAGAGAGTTCAGGATGTTCTTTCGGGAATGGAAAAACCACAGGTGGGTCTGGAATATGAGTTAAAAACCTCACAAGTGAAAAGTACTAATGGTTTTAATGTTATCAGATAAACATGATATCCTTTAATGGCCAACAGAAAGTACAGGCTGCAAATACAAGCGAGCGTAAAACATGACATTACATTATTAATAAAATGTATTTGTCATAAGGAGACATTCAGTAAAAGTCACCAAGATCTTTTCACATTTGTTTACAATTACAAACTGTTCCCATTGCAGCCACACAGGGGCAGCAATTATTTTTTATTTTTTTATTTTGTTCCACTGTCAAGCAATTGAGGACTAGGTAAACATTTCCATCAAAACAATGTTTTCTGACCAATGTTTGCTCTGTTCTTTCCCCATCTGTTCACTCAGCCTGCTGCTCTTGCTGTTGTTTAGTTCAGGACTATCTAAGGACACCCTGTCACTTTAAGTGATAATCCATAAGTGAAACTAACCCATAGTCATCAATCATCTGTTCTGTTTTGTGTTTTAGTTTGCATGCATTTGTTGGTGTGTGTGTGACATTAGAACAGCTGTCTCATTTACTCCCTCAGCGTAAGATTAATCCCTCATTATCATAAAATTAGTGGCATTAAGGCAGTAAATAAGTTAAAATCAGTTTGTTAACACTGCTGACTGAAAGGTCATATTTTATTATATTGTATACAAACGTGCATCTGTCTGTGTCTGAAAACTACAATATTGTCTGTCTACATATTACATTATAGCAAAACTGACATTTGATATTGAGTAGTCGTAGTACGTTCTGCAGTACTTTGCCTGTCCTACTATACACTGTTTATAGTACATAAAAATGCCACTATATACACTACCGTTCAAACATTTGGGATCAGTAGGTTCGTTTTTTTTTTTTTTTTTTTAAAGAAATGAATACTTTTATTCAGCAAAAAAAACCTCAAAAGCTACAGTTAAAATACTGTCACATTGCGATTGAAAAAAAATGCTGTTTTAAAACTTTTTATTGATTTAAAAAATCCTGAAGAAAACGCATCATGCTTTCCACAAAGCATATTAAATTGCACAACAGTCTTCAACATTGATAATAATAAGAAATGTTTATCGAGCATCAAATCAGCATTTTAGAATGATTTCTGAAGGATCATGTGACAATGAAAATAAAGCTTTGTCACCACAGGAATAATTTACATTTTAAAATATAGAAGTTACTTTCAATTTTAATAACATTCCAATAGTACTCTTTTTAATATTTTTGATCAAATGAATGCAGCCTTTGTGAGACTTTTGTTTGTGAAAACATTGAAAAATCGTACTGACTCCACAGTTTTGCAAAATATACCTGCAGCTCCATGAATGGGAGTACATTTGGCATAAAACATGGAGGAATACAGAGGGAATATAGCCTGGTGGGTGCATGCAGGTAGTGTGGAAAACATCTGTGGCGCAATGTGTCCCAAGATGAGGCAATCTGGAAAGATGTGCAAGTTTGGAAGTAATTGACTTAAATCTGCCCTCATCCTCATCTCTCCAACATCCTCTAATGGAGCTGCCTTTCTTGTTCAGTGTCTTCATCAATCTTAAATTGAGTGTGCCACAGAGTAGAAACACACTGGTTACTACAGACTGGGGCCAAATCCTTTGTATGGCTGAAGTTTAGTGGCAAGTGGTCATGCACTCCAACTTCTCATTATAGTTGATGCAGCCCAGGATTAAGTCATGGTCTAAAGAAATACAGCACTAAAATATTGATGACAGTTTTTATAAAAAAATAAGCAGATTTAATCATAATGTACAACTTTGACCAGTTGGTGGCACTGCACCCTAAACATACTTTACCCCATGGGCATGTTTTAGGGGCATACACTACATTTCACTTCAGTGTATGAAGGTTTTGCCAAGACAGAGCATCACTTCCTGTTTGATGTCCTTACCTAGTGTCACTTTTTTAATAAAAATACATACACATACTATCTTTCAAAAGTTTGGAGTCAGTAAGATTTTTTTGTTTATTCAACAAGGATTCTTTAAGTTGGTCAAAGGTGACAGTAAAGACAATTATAAATTATAATGTTACAAAAACACTTATTTTAAAAGAAGCTGTTCTTTTAAATGTTCTATTCACCAAAGAATCAAATGTCCACAAAAATATCAAGCATTAACTGTTTTCAGCATTGATAGTAAGACGACATGATTCTTGAGCAGCAAATCGGCATATTAGAATGATCTCTGAAGGATCATGTGACACTGAAGACTGGAGAATATTCAGCTTTGCCATCACAGGAATAAATTACATTTTAAAATAGAAAAGTTATTTTAATTTGTAATTTAGCTCTTATTTGTTTTGGTCAAATAAATGCAGCCTTGGTGAGCAAACATAAAAAAAAAAACAAGCTATTGCACGGTATAGGTCTCTGAGCTTTTCAGTATCTCTGTGAGAAAGCCTGGTCTGATGGCAGCCGGTTTGTTGAGAACATATTGCTGTAGCTTCAGAAGTGCCAGTGGCAATCCTAGCTGTGCACATCCGAGAGCAACAACCATAGCTTTTCCACAGACGTTCTTTCACCTGCAGTTACTCTTGCCACAGGACAGATTGCGTTTGAGAGATTTGCTTCTGCCTGACTGAAGGTAGACAGACATTTACAGCTCATTCATGTCAGCGTTATACCCTCATACACAGGGTTACACCGAATGACCTGTTATAGAGGAGGAGTTATAGCCGCTCTGCCTCTTTACGTGTATACCTTCATTTCTGTGTTTGACACACAAATGGTTGTTTTTGCAGAGCTATAGAGTGGTTCAGATTGCAGGCCTAAAAACGGAAGGTAATTAATATTACCCATTTGTTCCCAGGTTGGGTTTTTGGAAGAGCAATTTTTGTGTTACGGATTAAATAAAGTCTGTGGTTAAAGGTTGAGGAAATGTTTGTTTTGTTTTATGTTTGTACAACATTAATTACACTGTCAAGTCCTCGTGAGTCGTTTCTTACCTAGCCATGTTTTTTTTCTTTTGTTTATTGGTTGATAGTCCTTTTTTTATTTGCCAGTCTATAATTCTGGTAGGTTTAGCAAATGAATAGTTTCAAAGTTGGGTTATGCTAACCTCATAATGAAATGACAATCCCACAAACTCTTATCTAAATGACTTGCTCCTTCCAATTTTGTCTTAAATCGCATTTGGCTGCTTTATCTTTGCAGCACATTTGAAAGCTGATTTAGCCTTAGAATTTATAGTCTTGGATTGTAACGACGATTTGTTTTTCCTGCACGTTTGTACAGTGGTGGTTGACATGAAGTCGTTTTTGATAGTGGCATGTCCTGCTGAAGTGTTATGCTCATGTTAATCGAGAGACAAAATCGAATATTTGTACTTTATTAATAAAAATATTATATGAAAAGGAATAAATGATGACAGAATAATTGACAAACGTTTTCTTTAAAAAAATAAAAAAAATAATGACCAGTAATAATTAGAATATACACCTTGCTTTACATTTACACATTTTTATCTTTGTTCATTGTTTAAAAATAAATAAGAAATCTACTTGTGTGCTTCACCTACCCACAGATTCAAAGACACTTGACATGCTTAATAATATTGTTTCCAGGTCTACAGTTGATGGTCTTTGTTCTGTTTGCTTCACAGGTTCTTAATATCCAGGCCCGGACAGCTCGACTGACTTGGGCTCCACCAGCAGGCCTCCAGAACAGAGACAGGCACAGTAACGGACACCCCTTTACCTGCAGCTACGAGGTCACTCTCTCAGACAAAGGTCGTAACGGCCAGTACCGTGTCATTTATAGGTAAGATAGACTGGAGTATATAATCACAGAGGAGCTGTGTAGTCTGCTCAGAATCCTTGAAGTCTTTATGTTCTCATAAATTAACAGTGTTCACCACAAGGGAGCAAGTTAGATATGAATACATCATCCATCGAGCAGATAGAATTATTGGATGCAGCCTGTTCTCTTACCAGGACTTGTATGATTCAGTATCCAGAGAGCAGACAGGAAAGATAATCAGACCTCTCACATCCTGTCATCATCCGTTTGGAGCATGAGTCTCAAAGCATGACTCCAGAATAACATATGAGAGCAGTGGTGCTGGTGGAGAATATGGAATATTATATTATATTATCGTTCAACGCCACTTTTAAGTGTTTGCCTTTGTTTGTTTCCCACACACTAAAAGAAAATGACAGAGCATAATCTAAAAGAATGGGGCAATTTTGAAGTGTCACAAAATAGTCGCAACAGCAGGAAAAAAGGTTGCAGGAAACCCTAAAACCTATCAAGGCAAAACCACTCAAAGTTTTTCCCTTGAGCAGTTGTGCTCAATAATAACTGAACAGCATCCTTAATGAAAGTCGTTTTTGCACTTTGGACAGCACAACTCTGTTGCTGGATCCATTAAGGTCAGTAACCATCGTGTGTGTGTGTGTGTGTGTGTGTGTTTTCAGTGGAGAGGAGTTGGAATGCAATTTAAAAGATCTCAGACCAGCAACAGACTACCACGTAAGGTAAGTGCAGCTCTCAACTTTATTTCTTGCCATGTGCAAGAACATGTGCTTAGAGTAGTTTAAACTATTACTGTTATTAGAGCCCATTATCCCAGAAATTCATGCTATTTCTGATGATCAGTATTGTCATTACAGTGATCCAGTTATCTGCAGTTTTCTTTTTTTACGTAATCGAAGTTAACGTTAATGGAATATATAAGTCATAATTTTTAACTTCTACTTTTGTTTAATGACCTCAGCTCTACCTAAATGTCCCTCTAATGGTCTGCCTGTTACCTGTTATTAATTGAGCCGAAAGTGCTGTGCATCACAGCGTTTGGAAAGGTCAAGCTTAAATATGATGCATGTACTGGTCCTCAAAGAACCTTCAAGCCCACATCTGCTGTACTCTTTGCAGCCAGGGATAGGCAATGCTAGTCTGTTCTGTCACCGGGAGCTCTTGTTAATGGAGAATCCAGTGCTGGGGGTCGGTTTGTCTGGATCCTCATTAAAATGCATTGAAATTGTCAGTTGAGTTTTCGGTTGACCTTTGAACCCTGGTAGCAGTGGGACTATCTGAATATATGTTCTGATTAAGGGATAGGCAGTCAGATGTGACCCTGAATGTTCCATTTGCCCCTAAGAGTGATGTTTTGTTTCCTCTTTATAAATCTGAGTGACCTGTTGGGAAATGGCACGTGTGGCCAGATGAATTCTGTCCCACCTTTTCCAGCACAGGAATAAGCGTAAAGTGAAGTGCTTTATGGCTTTTTTTAGCTCATCTCTTTTCTTTTCTTTAAAAAAAAAAAAAAAAAAAAAAGCAATTTTCTAGAATTGTAAAAGCAATGTGCACTCAATCAGAAAATACATTGAAAACGGCACAGCTGGTGCTAGAAGGTCATGTGTTTTATTACAGATAAAATGTACACCTCGAATGCACTAAGTTTTTTCTTTGGATAACACAAAAAGGTTATTTTCCCCCTCACTGTTCCTGCTTTAAATGTAGTATAGATCACTTTGAATGAACTATGTCTTCTAAATGTGTGTGTTTGTCTTTCTCAGAGTGAATGCTTTGTGCAATTCTGTGAAGGGTTCGTGCTCTGAGGTGGGGGCCTTCACCACCCACAGCAGTACCCCAGACTGCCCGCTGCCCCCTAAACTATCCCACCGCACAAAGAGCACGCTCACCCTACAGTGGAAGGTGAGACTGCGGTTTATCTCATACTTGTATGGAAGTTATCAGTTCATCAGACATATAGGACTAATTCGGTTAATTCTTCAATGAAGGTACATTTAAGCTTAAAGGTGCTGTATGTAACTTGTTTTACTCTACTAAAGCATAAAAATACCATAGCATGTTTCCTAAATATCTGCAAACATATTAAGTTCACATACTCGATTCTCTTAAAAACACTTCTACATCCAGTTATTTTACTTATTATTTTACACGTTCCGTGTTGTCAGTCGGTTTTTGTTTTGGTCTGTGTATTCTCGCCAGTTCACCCAATAATATACTTGTAGGTTTAAAAATCCACATATGGCACATTTATTTTCTCCAACAAATATTTTAGCAATATGTATATTTTAGTCAGAATTATTGCGCTACTATTCTATTGTGCTCCGTCTGTTTGGCGCGCATGCGGCGGCGCTCATTCGCGGAAGCTTGAATTCTAGCGGAGATTCACTTGCAGAAGGCTCATCCTCTCCTGACAGTGAAATGGACATATTTGTTTGACTTTCTAACATTTACAGATGGAGAATATACCTGTGAAATGTAAGCTAAGCACTGAAACGCATTAAACAGTGCAAGTATTTATCTGACAGATAGGCTACTGTTGCTGACTGACAGAGCATCTGACAGGGCAAGCTGCTTTAAACTTGTTAACTAAGTTATATCTTACCAGTTATTTTGAAGCCCTTAATATAACATGGTTTGGACAAATTGTACTATGTACTTTCACTGCAGCAGCTCACACTGCGTCCTCCACTATTTTTCAGGTGTGCTCGTATCAAACTACTATATCGATATAAAGGGTATTGCCTCATTCCATATCGTTTCAAAAAAATATATCGATATATCGTACAAACTCAATATACCGCCCAGCCCTAATTCCACACAACCTAAAAAGCCTCGATATCCATCTAAAAATCTCTGAACGAGAGCATATTAAAACACGGATAAATCAACTCATTAACTTAAAGTCTGTAAGTCTCCTCGGTTTTCGTTGTCAATTGCACTGTTACGTGTCCTCAAACTGGCAACCCACGTGAGCGTTGAGTCTTAGGAGGAGGGGGCGGGGGAAACAACGACATCTGATATTTTGAATTTGGACTGCTGTGCCTATTTCGACCACTAGCTGTCATTCTTACATACTGCACCTTTAAAGTTTGTAAAGTTTTTTTACAGATGAAAACGATTTTAAGCCTAATGAGACTGGTAGATTTAAAGGGGTCATGAACTGCACTGTTTTATTGTGTTATTATTATGTTTCCTGTGGTGCATTAATAATGTTAGTATGATTTTTACATCAAAAATTGTCATAATTTAGAAATAAAAGGCATTTTTCCTACCCTGATTTTAGCCCTCTGATTTGAAACGCTCTTTTTTAAGGAATAAAACGCTCTTTCGATGTAAACGCCCACTGCTGTGATTGGCTTACATCTGTGTATGTGAAATGGAAGTATTACGTTTAAATCTCTCGAAAACCTTTAGCACGTTTTTACTATTACAGCTCTTAAGGTTAACTAATTGAGAATAGTGTTGATTATAGCATTATCTATAGCATTATATTTAGACCGTGGCATGAAAGGTTGCAGTGAGGAGCATTGTAGCCAATCACAGACATGTTGAGCACATGAATGTGATCTCGTAATTGCAGCTCGATTTCTGCACACTAACGAATGCTTTCATAATAACTAGCAGTGCAAACACAATGTAAATAAGAGATTCATTGATTATTATGGGAGTTTTTCCGTGAGTCCAGAACTGAGTCACTGATAAACTCGCGCTGTTTGATTGACCGCTCCAGCGATTGCAAAGGGAGCGTTTTTTGTTCGCTTTCTTTAAATAATGTGAAGTTGACCATTTAGTCACTGGTTTGATTTACTGAGACAGACAAAGACATCTGACTGTACATGAATCATTACATATCAGAAATCACTGTTCACAGATCAGGCATTAGAAATAACACGGTTACTTTCATGTTGTGGCATTACTGTCGAGTCCATATCTCAAAAGTCTGTTTGCAAAGCCTGCGCCGAAATTGCGACTGATTTACCAAAGAATCCTCAGTGAAATGTACCGCATACAAATAAATAATGCTCAACTGAGACATTCACATTGTTGAAAAAATAACCACATTCCTAGCATTAGGATCCTTTGGAAGGTAATGTTATTTGTAGTCCATCTTGTATTCCTCTTCTCTCTTCCTCATCTCAGTATGATGACCTCTTATGTCAAAAGCTTAGGGAAATTTAGATTTTTTAGTTCATGACCCCTTTAAAGGAGATTTTTATTATTAAATTATTAAAGAGATAGTTCAGCTAGAAATAAAAATTCTGCCATCATTTACTGACCCTCATGTTGTTCCAAACCTGTATGACTTTCTTTCTTCTCTGTAAAATAAGAGGAGGAGGAGAAGAAAGATGTCCACGCTGCCCTTTTCTATACAATGAAAGTGAATGGTGACCAGAGGCCACAAAAAATTTACAAAAAGCACTATAAAATATCCCATATGACTCATGCACTATTTCAAGTTTTCTGAAGGTGCACTGTTTTTTTTTAAAGTCTCTTGTGCTCAGCAAGGCTACATTTATATGATCAAAATACAGTAAAAATAGCATTATTATAAAATATTATTACAATTTGAAATAACTGATTTCTATTTTGATATATTTTAAAATGTAATTTATTCCTGTGATGGAAAAGCTTAATTTAGATCATCATTACTCCAGTCTTCAGTGTCACGTGATCCTTCGGAAATCATTATAATATGCTTATTTGCTGTGCATGAAGCATTTATTATTATCATTATTATTAATATTATTGCTATTATTATTATTTTCAATGTTTTAAACAGTTGAAAACTACAAAGAACAGCATTTATTTGAAACAGCATTCTTTTGTCACTTTGATCTTTTTACTGACCCCAAACTTTTGAAAGTAATAGTGTATTTATTAAGACCAAATTTTACATCATGATTGCATGTGAGTATATAACACAACACAAGTCATACGGACATGGTTTTAGTGTTGTTCGTATTTTTTTCTTCTCGTTTTTAGAGCTTGACAGTCCTTAATCACCAATCTTGTTCATTGTACGACAAATAGAAGCATCAACGTTTTGCCCTCTCTTACAGTATGTGTTTAAGAAACTTAAAAGAGTTTTGGAAAAACATGAGTGTGACTAAATGATTGGGTAAACTTCTTACTTTTTAGATTTTCATGGTCCAGTACACAGACAGTGTACACAATATTTATTATGAAATAAGGTTTTCTTCCAGTTTTCCTTCTTTGTATGTACTGTACTTCTAATTTGTTTCTTTTTATTTCTCTCCTCACTTAGGCACCAGTTGATAATGGATCGAAAATCACAAGTTACCTTTTAGAGTGGGATGAGGTATTAATATATTTTTTGTTACTTAACAATTTTGTTTTAAATAATCATTAGCATTCGGTTTCTTTTTACATTTTTGGTAAAAGGGCCTCCTTGTTGAATTGCAGTTCAACATTTTCAGCACTGATTACGCCTCTTTGATATCAGCACTGTTCATTCACTCTGTTTAAAGATTCATATCTGAATGATGTCCCCATTTTCATCAAAGACCACAGCAGTCTGTTGTCACTCATACATTTTTCACTCCAGCCATGATTACAGTGGTTTTGAGAAGCTGAATGGCTTCAGTGATTTTATGCAGTGACTAGTTATGTACTGAATGTATGTGTTATCCTACTTTATCTATTAGGGCAAAAAGAACAACAATTTCAGAGAATGTTACTTCGGAAGCCAAAGGCACTACAAACTCACTCATCTGTGTCCAGCTATGGCCTACACATTTCGGGTGGCGGCACGCAACGACATAGGAATGAGGTATCACTGCAGAAGCATATGCATGGACTTAGGTTGCTTTCACACTAGCACTTTTGGAGCGCACCCAGGTTCGATTGCCGTTAGAGTTCGATTTGTTTTTGCTAAATTCCAGTTTGCGTACTCCCACTACACACCAAAACACATTAACCTTTAGTCTTGTATAGTATTTAGTATGGATTATGTGCAAGTTGGGATACAGCCAAAGATTCAAACATTGTTTGACCAACTATGATTTGAGCTTTGAATTAGAAGGAAATATGAGTTGTCGTACAGGATGCATATTAAAGTCTTTGTGTGTGACAAAACAATCCCATTATCCCTCTGTAATCTAATCCTATCACCATCCCTCAAGTCGTAATGGAGGAGGAGAGCCATAAAGTCACCTTGATGCAGAAGAACAGACAGCCAATGGAGCGTTCTCTCTCTTTCCCCCTCTTTCTCTATTTCTTCATTTACCCCCTCTTTGTCTCTCTCTCTCTATATATATATATATATATAATATAATTTAATAATATTGTTTATTTTATGTATAGAATTTTTAAAGAGAAAAAAATCATGATTTTGGGGGCAGCCAATGCCCCCCACTCAAACTATTGAATATCTATAGAATATATCTATAAAACAAGTAATGTTTGGTCCAGTGGGCAGACATGTTAAGGGTCATCACTCTGAATACAGCACCATCCCTCGTCTCCTCCATCTCCTGACATTAATACCATAGACGCATTCATAAAGTGAAGCAACACTGCTGAAATATGAGACTCCACCTCCAGCAAACCACATTTCACCCAGTCTAAAGGGATATTTTTTATTACTTCCTTAACTGAAAGAAGCTCATTTAACATCTCCTGTTTCCCAGTGGCAGTTATAGAGACTCTCACACAGTAAATACAGAGGGCTCTAGTAAACTTGTCACAACCAGTTAATTGGAAGAAACTAGATTTAAGGCTGCTATCGAGAGGAGAGGAAAACTATTTAAATTACATAAGTCAGCCTGCAAGTTATACATATTGGAGCTGTGTTAAAAATAAACTCAAAGAGTCAGCCCTGTGAGGGATGCAAATGAACACAGCTTTTGCAATAAGATGTTGAGGCTTTTGCTAAGTTTATACAAATCACATTTACACGTCCTTCATGGAGGATAACAAAAAAAAAAAAACTCATTCCTGGCTGTTTTACAGCTTCCTTTATGTGAGTGTGTGTGTATATATCATTTTCTGTCACCTCTCTTGTTTGTCAGTGGCTTTAGTCCTGAGGTGGTCTTCTACACGACTGGAAGTCTGCCCCACTTGCCCCACGCTCCTCGGCTGGTGCGTGCCGGCATCACATGGATCACGCTGGAGTGGAGCCGGCCAGATGGCTGTACCGCAGAAGAGCCCGTCACATACAAGCTGGAGATCCAGGAAGAGAACATTGTACGTCATTTAGATGGCATGACTACCACACACTCAAGTCCATACTTAAACCCCATGGCATTTGGTTGTGTTGGCAATTTTCAAAAAAGATTTGAACCAAATAGTTTTTATAACGTTTGACTCCATTGTTTCCTGGACATTTGTATTGTTCCACTAAGTGGGGCCTCCAACTGTTTCTTTGAAACGGGCCTTGTTATCGTTATCAAATCATTATTTGGAAATCTGAATCTTTAGGATTCCCATCACTACTTGCGTAAAATGGTGATGTAAGTTCACTGTTTTTGTGCTCATTTCGGCAGGGAACAGAGTTTCACCCAAAGTACACTGGAGAAAACTTGACATGTACTGTAGAGGGCCTGAAGAGAAGCACGCAGTATAAATTCAGGGTGAGTGAATGCATATTTGTCGTCTTATAGCTTTTCACGATATCATAAATAACTATAGTGTGTGATTTACAGAGTTCATAAGTTTGCACACCCCTAGCTATAATCTGTTAGATGCGTGTCATAAAAAAAAAAATCAACAATCATAAAAATGTTGTATAATATTGTTGAGTCCCTTTTGTGACGAGGGACAAAGCTGGATCACATCTTCATTGTGGAACTGTGAAACATCAATGTGCAGAGCATACTGGGAATTGGGCTGCTTCACTGCTTAGCATAAGCCAAGGACTCCAAAATGTGTGCACATAAATTAAAAATCAAATAGTGTAGCATTTTCAGTTTTGGAGTGGAGTCAAATTTTGTCTCTCACCTTGTTAGGAAATAAAATATAGAGAATAATGACAAAATCTTTAAAAATGATTCTGCAACAAAGTCCCTTTCAAGGAGAGTCTGTTCACTCGGCAGCCTATTTCTGGCATCCAAGACTAATGGGGGAATCCTGAAATCTCAAGAACTGCTTGCCGAACTCACAATTTCATATCAGCAAAAAAAAACATTGACATGAACTGTCCCATAAATCATGTTTCTTATGCTTAAATAGCGGTAAACAAATATTTAGAAGGCGGGACTTATTCCGCCATATTGCAAGTTGCACTTTCTCCCATACGAGTAATACGAGTGCATCATCTTTGTAAATACAAAGCCATTGTTCTGTGAGGAGTATGTAAACTTATTATGTTTAAAGCTTGTTGCTTTGGTATGATGTGTGAAATGAAAGATTGTTTGCCAAAAGGAAACCTCAATAAATATTAAAGAGATTTCAAAGCTCACATTGCAATATTGACATGCTCAAAAATAACAAAGAGGTGCATTTGTCTGTTTTGAAGAGAATAATGCTTTCTCAGAAGTACTGGTCAGATATTAATTGCCAAGTCATAGTGACCTCATCATGTTTTGGTCAAGCGTTTTTGTACTAGTTGTTAGCTGTGTTTGACACATGCTCTTCACAGGCGCACAGTGTTTTGTTTGTTGTGCAGGAAGCTTGTTTGTGTTACAGGGACACCTGACAAATTAAGGCTAGAGTCATACATTGTTAATTACAGTGGCAGCAAAGTGATTTAACCTTTCTCTGTGCTCCACTGACTCATACCACAGTTGTTGTTTTTTTTATCATCCCAAATATTTTCTTCTGTCACGTTCATGTAGACTAGAGAACTCTATCCAATTATGAGTGAACCGCAGCCCACGTTAAATGCTGCTGTAATGCAGTGAGTGGGTCTGGCTTAAGTGCTTTCACAATTAATAGTAATTCCTCTGAATGGTGAGTTTTTGTCTTTTTTTAAGTGAAGGCATCCATTAAAGCGGCAGGTGAAAATAATGGGAGTGTGTAAATGTGTTATGTCATTACCTCTGCGGTTGTGATCAGTTGTTTGCGTACAGAAGCTCTTTAGTTGGCTGTTTGCAAAGGTTTCTATTTTTGGGATAATCGTACATATTATGTGCATGAACATGAGTCTAAATCAATAATTAAAGATTTCGGATCAGATTTCTCAGTAATTTTATATGATGATATGCATCATGCATGTCTCTTATTTGCCACTTTTCGAAACTTGTAAATCTTTTGTAAGGATTCACTGACAAAAAACATTCCTAGACCTTTCTTTTTTTTTTTCAATGTAAAAATTAGGGATTCATTCAAGTACCCAAGTACGATGATCATGAAAATGCAATAGTTGTGTGACTACTTTTATTTTATTTTTAAAGTAAAGTTTTTAATATCTTTAAAAAATTTAATACACATTTATAACGCTATATATTGTGCTATATTACCTTGTCAGTAAATGACAAGAAAGGAATTTCAAATACAACAGCTGAGGGAGTGACAGTAAATTTGACATCTTTCTCTCTTCTGACCTACGTCAACAATCGATCTCTCTATATTTTTTCCCTTTTTTGGTCGTGGAAACTCTATCACAGATTTTTTTTCTTTTGATGAGAATACAAAAGTGACATTTGCTGTCGTCTCCCATTCACTGCTATAGAAGGTTACTATACTATGTGAAATGTAAAAAGGGTCCATTGCTCGTAGTTAGACTTGAAGATTTGAATGAACCCATGAGTTAATGATATCTCAAATTATGAAATTCAACAAGAGTTCTTGAGCTAGTTGCTCTTTTGTTAGCGATCAGACCTGTTCACTAATGTCTCTGTGTTCAAAGATGTTCACTGGACAAAAGAAGGGGCCAAAAAGTCATTACTGTACAGAATTAAGCCTCTTCTGTCTTGTGTTTGTGTCTTGCAGCTCATAGCTTCTAACTTGGAGGGCAGAAGCAGTCCCAGTGAGGTGCTGGTGTGTAACACTAGTCCAGACAAACCTGGACCCCCCTCCAGACCCTGCATCAAGGGCTCTATCAGACCTTACAGCTTCAGTGTCAAATGGGGTATGGCTGTTTGTGCAACGAAAATATATTTGCTTAATTGGTTTCTGGCTTTTTTATCTGTTTTGCATTTGAGCTCAAACTTTGGGGCTCAAATGAGCTTGAGCTTTAATCTTGGAAATTGAGAAGAAATATCGGAATATTATCTATATAATATATATAATCTATCAATCAATCAACTTTTATTTATATAGCTCAATAAAAGCAACAGTAGTTGGACTTGGCCATTGTGCTGTACAACAGGATAAATATCTAAAAAAACAAAAAAGACCGCAAAACAAATAATAAAGGGAGTTTACATCAAAAACACCAATCAGAAAAATTCAATATTCTTCTCTATCTGATGTGTGAGTCACAATACACCTAATTTTGATGTCTTCCTTTGTGATGCGCTACTTGAGTTCTGCCACTTTCCAGTTTAGTTCTTTGTTTGCAAAGGAAAGTAGGACGAGGCCTGCGGTTGTATTGCGCTCTCAGTAAATCGCAATTTTATTTCCCCGCAGTAATGAACCAAACGATAGATTTCGGACAGCTGCAATAAACTTCAAAAGGGCAAATGCCTAAAATTTAGTTTAGACTCAGAAAGTTTAGACTTGGAGAGTTTTTGCTCAGTCATACAACAGCATCATAAAAATCTGAATACCTGAAGGGTCATATCATGAGAAATAAAATGTTCCTTTATATCTTTTTAAATATGAGTTATACTGTGTACAATACCATGCTGTAGGTTTAGTTTCTTACAGTAGTAAAAGCTGGCTCCAAAAAATCTGGTGAAACTGTAAATTACCAAATAGTTTTTGTTTTTTTGGTGCAAACAACATTACTAACATTTAAGTGGACCTCAGGAAAAAATAAATGTAAAATAATTTTATATTGCTTTATCTGTTATGTACGGTACCCTATTGTACTCTTAAATAATAGCTAGTATTCAGTCACTGTTGTTTGGGTACTTTTGTATGTATTTTATGGTAAGCACATCTCCATATATGTGTATATTTATAATATCCAAGTCTGTATGTCACACTACAGATCCTCCACAAGACAACGGAGGTTCAGAAATCTTAAAATACCTCTTGGAGATTTCAGAAGGAAATTCTGATGGTATGTATTAATGTATATGTAATTGTGTTCTTCACTGTCATTCACCATCTGCCTGCATGTTTAAGTATGTTTTTGTCCTTGGTTAATTACATCTCAATTTTATTTCAAAACTATTTAGAAATCCAGTCTTTTTAAAAGCTTTTTTTCCCTTTTTCACATAACATTTTTTTTAGAAAAACATAAGATTATTTCGCAATTAATCTTCTTGTGTCCTCACGCTGTCCCATCTGTACTTCTATTCTTACACAGATACTCCATTAGTGCTGTCAGAGCTTCTATTTCTCTAAAAAGGAATTTCATATAGCCAAAAATACTCAATGCTTGAATGTTCATTGATACCTATGTGTTTTTATCTCACCATGGATTAATTAAACTTTGGGAACAGTTGAGGGTTTGCATGGATAACTGACTGACTGAGTAATTTCCCTGCAAATGTTGAACTCTTTGACGCCTTGTATTCGGTAGCCAATCAGTGGGACATTGCATACAGTGGGCCTGCCACAGAGTGTGAGTGTGAGGATTTGAAACCCGGCACAATGTACAGACTGCGCACCTGCAGCATCAGCACGGGTGGCCACAGCCAGGTAACTCAAATATATTACAACAGCTGTACACCACATCTGGACTCATCAGAAAGAAATGCATTTAGAAAGAATGAGAGACTATAGCTTTACATTTGTAGGAAAAAAGTATGTGGATTTTAATTCACAATAATAGAGAAACAGACACAGACTATTCATTCATTTTTCTGTTTATTGAACATACAATTTAAATATTCATAGTACAGAGTGGGAAAAGTATGGATTTTAATCCGAATTAACTACTGAATTAACTTCCATTTAACTTTTCTAATGTAACTGTGGTGCACAAATTTCAGGAGAGACATTTTCAAACTGTGTTAGCAGAAAACGAAATCAAAACATATCATTTCTTGTTTGATGTTGTGACTTTTGAAAATAAAGATTTGATTACATTTTATGGCCAATTTGTGTAGAAATTCAGTCCAAAATGCACTATATACACTACTGTACAAAAGTCTGAGGTAGATAAGGTTAATATTCTTGAAAGAAGTCTCTTATGCCCATAAAGACTGTAGTTATTTAATCAAAAAATATTACAATCTAAAAATAACTGTTAATTTATTCCTGTGATGATGGCAAAGCTGAATTTTCAGCATCATTGCTCCTGTCTTCAGTGTCATATGATCCTTCAGAAATCATTCTAATATGCTGATTTGGTGCTTAAGAAACATTTCTTCTTAGTATCAATGTTAAAAACTCAATGTTGTGCTGCTTAATATTTTTGTGGAAACCATAATACATTTTCTCCAGGAGTCTTTGATGTGCAGCATTTATTTGAAATAGACAAAAGCCTTTACTGTTATTATTGGTCAATTTAATGTGTCCTCTCTGAATAAAAGTATTAATATTTTTTTTTTTAATCTTACTGACCTCAAACTTTAGAACGGAAGTATAAATTACATACTTTTTGCTGCAGTTATAGATACATAATTGTTATGCTTGTGTCCCTGCAGTGCTCTGAGAGTCTGCCTGTGCGCACACTATCTGTAGCTCCAGGACGTTGCCAGCCTCCCAGAATTGTGGGTAAAGCCAAGCACAAAGAAGTGCACTTACAGTGGGGTAAGATTCTGAATACGTAAACTCTCGGTCCTTCTGAGAGTTTTTCATTCCTTAGCCTCCATTTCATATTCACATTTGTGCTTTTATACAAAGCAACATACAATGTATTCAAGGTAAATTTTTAGGACAATTTCCTCGGGAATTAAACCCACACTAACACAATAATGTATCAGTTACGGGATCAAGAAACATTATTAAGTTGGTAATTTACATTTTCCCAAGATCTCTGCAGTTTCACATTTATTTGTGGTGATGTGAAATCACATTTCACCAAGCCCCTCTGTGGCATTCCACAAAATTAAACCCTTTTGTCATATCCAGAAACAGCATACGATCAACATTCCCGCCATGTTTGCTACATATCCTCAATGTACACATATTTTCCAGTAGTAGACTAGAATGATTCTCTAGAAGTGCACTTGACTCACTGACTTCCTGTGCCAGAACTATCGGTAGGTAGTTAATAGCTAAAGGCTGTAGCGGGAGTGAGTTAAGTTCTGGGTCTGTGGAGCTGCTGATTCCAGACTTTCTAAGTGAACACTTTGGATTCAGGCTTTTGGACAAGAAACTTTGAACTGAAATTGTGAAGATTGGTAAAGCTTGATGTTGTAAAGAAGTGGTCAAATCTGCTTTGTCTTAGAAAAACTTAAACCCCTTACTTTTGTTCTAAAAGATGAATTGAACCTGTAATTTCTGTGGTACTGAAGTGCTTTGTCTCTGTCCCTCGTCTCAGACTGTCCCTCCTCTGAGGGGGCATGTGAGGTGAATGAGTACAGTTTGGAAATGAGGGAGGGAGAGTCGGAGCCCACCGAGGTCTATCACGGCTCTGATCTGGAGTGCACCGTGGGCAGTCTGCTCCCCGGCGCCACCTACAGCTTTCGCCTGCGTGCCGCCAACGAGGCAGGGGTGAGTGCTCAACAATTCAAAAATCAAATTGTGATTCTTCATTTGTTTTCTAAAGCACTGCCACTAATAATAATAATGCAAAAAATAAATTAAAAAACATACATAAATTAATCAACTGCACTAATTGACTAGTCAGTTGTTAGACAACCATCCTGATCTATCCCTACCATAATGCACCTCAGGCTCAGTATTCAGTTAATCACAGCACCTCTTTCTTCTGTTTATCGCATGAATCGTCTACACCAGCCAATCATTATTTGAATCCATTTGGAATTAGAGGAACCAGTCTAATTATAATTATGACATAAAAAGTTGAAATTATGAGATACAAAGTTATGATTATTGAGATAAAAAGTCGAAATTGAGTTTTAAGTCATAAATTTAAGAGAAATTAAGCAATACTCACAGAAGTCAATAATGACCTATTTTTGGTCAATTCCACTTGTCAAATTGATTCTCAATTCCAACTGCTAATGTCATTATTTAAACTTTGTATTGTACTATATTTGTATTTCAGTTTCAAATTTTTCAGAATTTCAACATTTTTAATCTAATAATTATGTTTTTTTAGTCTCTTTTAGAGTTTTGATTTGATTTTAGAGATTCAAAGCATGATTTTTATTTTTATTTTATGTGGCTGAAGTTGACTTCTATACAACGTCAAGGATTTCTCCTTGATTCTTCTCTCAATATGCTCAATGTTCAATCCAGCAGTGTTCAGGGAGGCAGAGATCCGCTCTGGCTGTCTTTTTTTCCCTTTATCTTTTTCTTTGTTCGATTTAAGTAGTTTCCTGTTTCTTTTGCAGGAGTGTTAATACAGCATTCAGAGTCAGCTCTAGAGCCAGAAGACTGAATTTAATTATTTTCTCTGTTTACTTTTCATTGTTTGTGTGAGGCAAACTCCCAAAAGTGAGAAATCGATGCATCTCGTATCCGATTGCGGTACTGGAAACATGCTTTGATTTCACAAGGGTGTAATGCAAGATTGGCTCGGTCTTAAGTGTTTTATTTGTTTTTCACATTGTATCCTGATAGAAATACACCTATGAGACATTTCATGTCATGTATTGAATATTAATTTGCTCTCTCTCTTTCTCCTTTGCTCACAGTATGGGCAGTTCTCTGAACCAACAGAAATAACAACCGCAGCTGGTCCTCCCAGCCAATGTGCGGCCCCATCCCTCACCTTAATGTCCAATACCTGTGTGCTGGTCAGCTGGGAGGTAATTTATCATTTTTTAAATCAGGCCTATCAATAATAGGACATAGATCATACATTAACACATTCAACAAAGAAATACTGCCAGTATTGATGATCAGATGAGCTGAAGTACAAGCAATCAGCCAATAATTTGTTTATGCACTTCCTCTCTTTCAGAGTCCAGAGAGCTCAGGGGCCGACATCTCTGAGTACCGTCTGGAGTGGGGCCGAGAGGAAGAGCTCATGGAGCTGATCTACTGCGGCCCTGACACGCAGTGTGAGATCTCAGACCTGACACCTGCTACTCATTACTACTGCAGACTTCAGGTATTACTGTCACTGAAGGGTTCTTTTCATTTACACCATGGTTATTGTTCAACAATTCCTTTACAGTGTGGTACAATTTATTGCTGATGGGAAATGTTTTGTTGAGCCAGTTTTACAGACAGTGCCTCTAAAATGCACCTTTCTTACACTTTCATAATGCCTTTTTAATTGTATTAGAAATGTCCTGTGATTTTGACTTGATTTAAGAGTAAAAAGTAAAAAAACTGATTAGCTCACAATATGGTTTTATTATTACTTTTACATGGCTGCGGCGTGTCGCTCTGCTGAATAACATATTTGGCATTTGCTTTTGGCTATTTTAGCCCATTTAATTATGACTAGAGTAGTAAAAGTATGACAGGAAAAGTTGAAAAGAACAAGGAAAGGTGCCGCTTCATTAACTCTATCATCTTGCGCACTGAGGCTGTAAAAAGGTTCTTGTTATTATGCTTTAAATAAATGAGCTAGTGACAGTCATTTCGAGATGATATTATAATGGCGAAGATTAACAGCATTATGATCACTATAATAATTTTTATTTATTAGGAAATATTGTCATGCAGCTCAAAATGCTGTACAGAAACAGAATAAAATGAATAACTCTTATTTTTAGGTGACATTTATTCTCACTGCACCAGAAATCACATTAGCGCTGTTGGATTTAATTATTTAATTGTGATTAATACAATATATTTTTTTTAGGGAAAGGAAACTAAATACCAGGCCCAAGTGTAATTATGTTTGGCAATGTGTCATAATTTGTCATTTGCTGTATTATTTTTAGAAATCACACAGAAGTGAATAAAACTTCATAATGTTGAATTAAATAAATGTCAAAACCTTTGACAGCTAAATTTTAACATTATTAAATATCAATTAAATTTGTTGACAGCCCTAAAACAAATATATTAGTAAAAGCACATTATACTGCAAGTTAAACCTTGTCCCTTTCTTTAAAGGCGGTGAATCAAGCAGGTGCAGGACCGTACAGCGAGCACACAAGCTGTCAGACCCCTGCCACCGTTCCCGACCCGGTCTCAGTGTTGTGTGTACTTGAGCACGATGCCACAGATTGCGGCGTCTACTCACCTTCCACATGTCTGGCTTTGAAATGGGACGAGCCCTGCAACAATGGAGTGGAGATCACGTCCTACACTCTTAAACTGGGAGAGCAGCTCATCAGCATGGGCACCAGCACCTGCCATGTGCTGCAAAACCTCCAGCCTGACAGTGAATACAGGTGTGTACATACACACTTAAACACACAACCATGAACCATTCAGACACCTCCAGGTTGTCCACTAGATCACATTTATCTGGTGATTTGCATAAGCACTTCTGTGATATGGGACAACAGTCTTAACTAATAACCGCTTAGCTTAGCGATTGCCTCTGAGCCAAATCTGTGTCCTGCTGGGAGTAGTTACGCTCCATCTCGGGTCTCATTTGCATTCAGCAAAGTTGTCCATTTCAGCGAAGCGTGACGCCACAACCACGTCACCCCCGCTGCATGTTTCCTCCCCCTACCCAGGAGGACAGTGGGTAAACAGCAGAGTGTTAATGATGCTAATCGGTAGCTAATGAAAGGAGAAGGCCTGAGGGCAGATTTTGTGTGTGTATCTAGGAAGTGGTGTCCATAACAGGACATCTATCCCTGCATGAGGCCACCACCGTGCACATTGAAGTGTCTCCATCAGACAGCTTATGCAACCCATGTTTTTGTCTGAGAGCTTTGATTATATACTTTAAATTACCGGTAGAGATCTGCGTGGGTATGATTATTATTATTATTTTTTTTAGTTTCATCCCACTGGGTCTTGCAGATTTTTACTGTATGTCCACCTGCTTCCCACTTAATGCTTTTCTTCTTGCCTACTCCCTCTCAGTTTATACTACTGTTCAGAAGTTTGGGGTCAGTAAGATATATATATATATTATTTTATTTATTATTTTATTTTTTTTAAGAAAGAAATTAATACTTGTAATCAGCAAGGTCACATTAAATTGATCATAATAAATTGAAGTGTGACCATAATAACTTTTGGAATGATTCAAAAGGTTTCTATTTCAAATAAATGTTCTTTTGAACTTTCAATTAATAAAAGAATCTTGTATTTCAACATTGAAAACAATAGAAATGTTTCTTGAGCAGCACATCAGCATATTAGAATGATTTCTGAAGGATCATGTGACACTGAAGACTGGAGTAATGATGCTTACATTTTAGAATATATGAAAATAGAAAACAGGTATTTTAAATTGTAATATTTTAGAATATTACTGTTTTGTTTTGAATTTGTTATCAAAAATGAGACTTCTTTCAAAAACATTTATCTTACCAACCCCAAACTTTTGAACGGTAGTGAACGTTACAGTGTTACCATTTTTCCCCAGGTGTCTTAAATTTGTTGTCATGAAGCTTATTCTCAATAATATTGTATTTGTCTGCTATTGGACTTCCTCTCGGTTAGCATTCTTTTTTTTTTTTTTTGTCATTGATTTGCTTTTTGGAGTATTTAAAAAAAAAAAAAAACTGACGGCACGCATCCACTCACAGATTTCATTATCTGATACCAGGCTATTTCGGCAATCTCCTGCCAGTGTTCTGACTGACCTAATGGCAGTGTAACCTCAGAGAAATGCAGCTTCTTTGGATGAGCAGGCGAAATAACAATGTTCAGTATATTTAATACCTCATTTTCACACAAATGGGTTAAGGTTATAATGCTTAGCTTTTAAACAGATTTGCTTAAGTGATCAGTGACCTCAAGTAATATAGAATCTCAAATATTAATTCTCATTGATTCAGAGGTCTTCGACCCTGCTCCTGGTCTTTAGGATCCCTTGAAAATCACAAGCTGATATAAACTTTGCACCGCAGTGGATCTCCAGGAGGGTTGAAGACGTTTATGTCATCATAATTTAGTTCCAGGTCAAAAATGAAGAGAAGTTTTTGAATCTCCAGTTAAGACTTTTGAACCACACTGTATGTGAATCAAGAACCATTTTTTGAGCCAGAACTGTGTGAAGCAGGCTGTACGGCCATTTGATCGCTCTTAGATCGATTATATCTTTTGTCATTTGGGGCGTACAGACTAATGAAATCTTGTGAAAGGTTAAAGAATGTTTGGTTTTCAGTTAAATGTCAACCAAACAGTCTGGTGTTGTGGGAGAGCTGCTGTTAATTCCAGTCCAGACTCCCCAACCCTCCAATTTGTTTTTAAACCCAGAAATTGATTTTGGTTCCATTTGATTTAATAACATGACAAGGCATTATCCTTGAATGAATGGCTCCTACCCAAAGCACTTTCAACCGACAAATATAAATTTGATTGAGCTTAGCAAGGGGAGAGTTAAGGAAGTTATTTGCATCCTCAAGTGAGTTTGACTTAGCATGATGTGGCAGTGTGTGAAGAGATCAACTGCATTTCATTTCATTTCAAGGTTGAGTCAGGTGAAGCTACAGATTACTGTGTAAAACGAGAAATAAAACATTATTTTGGTTTTACTACAGTCATGAAGTCTGCCAAGTTTTAATATTGTGTTTAGTATCATGACTCAAAGTATATTTTATCCCTTTCGTCCTTAGTGCAATCAGTCTTAGATAACCAAGAAATTGTATTTATATAATTTCTACCACTTCAAGCACTGATTAAAGTGTCTATAGCAGATTTTGTATGTTTGTTGTGCCATGGAAATGCCATGAAGTGTTACACGTGGTTAACAGCAAAACTAGGGTACATCTTTCGGCCTGTTGAAACCCCCTGCACTCCATCCATACATGCATATTCAGATGAAGCTGCTCATTTGAGAGTGTCATCTGCCTGCCTACTGCATGAATGTCCACTGTAAATGGAGGGGAATGTTGTGGTTTTAACACATGCACATGAATCAGTGTAGTGTAATGACTCACACATTAGCTCTGTTATAGTTATTTTTGGAGGAAATTCTGCAAAAATAACCATGTGATAATGCCTGGTGGTCCGTTTGATTTAAAATATTTACTTTTACATAACATGAGGAAGTCCTGCTCACTGATATCAGCAAAAATGTAAATGGTGTATCTAGCAGTATTTCTACCGTTGCACCGTTTATACAGGTAAAATTGCCCGGCCCTAAAGATCACCTGATGTACATGGTTTAAATGAGACTCTCTGTGCTGTCAGTCTGCAGATTCAAGCAGTGAATGAGATTGGTGCCGGCCCCCTCTGCCCTCCCCTGCTGGCCCGCACCAGGCCACTGCCACCTGTCCCTCCCCGACTGGAGTGCACTGCTGCAGGACCCCAGAGCCTCAAACTCAAGTGGGGAGACAGCAGCAATGCCAAGAGCCTGCTTGGAGAAGAGATGGTCTACAACTTGCAGATGGAGGACAAGAACAGGAGGTCAGTTCATTTCAATCACACCTCATAAATAGCAATAAAGGCACCGCTAAAAGGAAAATTGAATTCATTTTGAGAGCACACTGTGAGCAATGAAGTAATTTAGTCAAGGTGAAATGTCATTAGATGGCAGCAATATTTTTTTAACATTTAACTTTTTTTTTTTTTTTTGTGCTTTGAGGTCAGATAAATATGATAGGTTTTTAGGCCTTACTGTTATAGATGTACCTGTAGATTGGTCAGGTCACTAGATTTTGAACCTACCCAAGTTTCAGTTTGGCCTAATTTAATTGTAACTGTTGATTGTTTTCCTTGGCAGAGTGGCATGTTTGCAGTATTTGTGAGTGGGCAACAGGCCTGACAGATGGGCATTTAATAGAAAATATAATGAATTCCCCAACCAACACTGTCAAAAATCCTTTTAGTGTTAGACTGGTTAATTTACTAATTATTTTAATTATTCTCTTTAGCCAGTAACCGTTTTGCTTCAAATGGAGCAAGCATTTATCTTTACCAAAAATGCACCAAGGGTAGTTTACATAGACAGTACCATTTAAAGGAATAGTTCACCCTAAAATGAAAATTCTGTCATTAATTACTCACCCTCATGTCATTCCAAACCCATACGACTTTCGGTAATCTTCGGTAAATGAAGATCTTTTTAAAGAAATTAATGAATTCATTTAATTTAATGCAACTTTACTTACAAAATAATCATCTCCAACGCGCGTTCATGAGAGCACCACGATGCACGCGTAGAGCAGACGTTGTTGCGAATGTACATTGGAGATACATTTTTTTTAAAATAAAGTGGTAAATTATGTTTTTATGTGCAAACAAAGCACTCGTGTTGCTTCATAATATTGAGGTTAAACCACTGGATTTGTGTATTGTGTATTTGTTTATTTAAGAGGGGACAGTGCAATTTCATAACACATGAGCAAACATGGTTGAAAAAGCCAGAATTAGCAAAAGGCTATTTTTCATCTGTAGACCCCTGGCCAAGATGTAAAAGAAGCATTAAAATACAAACAAGAAAATAAATTTACAAGTCTTATGGCAAATCAATAACTACAATATAAATGACACTATAGAATAACTTAAGACACACAATACCTGTTACAATATTTAAAGCTGCAGTCTGCAGTTTTTCCTCTTTGTCGCCATCTCTGTTCGAAATCTGCAATTGCAGTTATTCGCGGAATTATCAACTTTAACCCTCTTGCCGTTTTTTTTTCACATAGCAGAAAAATAGACTTAAAATACTCTGTTGATTTTGATCGTACATATAAGTGTTATACATCAATCGATCCTGTTAATTGTCTATTATTTTTCTGTATACTCACAATAAAAACAAAGTTTTGTGCTTTTTGTCAAATAAAGAAAAATAAACATGATGCGAGTTTTGCCTTCTCTCTGTCAGTGCAGTCCATTCTGAAACACGTCCGAAAAATTAACTCTAACTCTGCAAATACTTGTCATACAGGCACGAGAGATTTTTCTTTATGAAGCTTGAATTCTCTTCTTTTCAATGAAGTAATTTATATAAAAAAACAAATATTCTCAGTTTATGTAATCTGTATGAAAAGAGAGTGCTGTCAGAATTTTTTCCCCCAGCTCATTACACTTCATTACGCGTTAATCTGACACGCCCACGGAGGACGCGCGCTATTCAAACGCAAATGTTGAGGCAAGCCATGACAATGCCCACATCAGCCGTTCCACCGCGGCGGTAAAATGTGGGGTGTATTTTCTGCCTTTTACCGCCAAGAGGCGCTACAATCATAGACTCTGAAAAGTGTTCGTTTATTCTTTCTAATGCGTTATCTGCCGCCGCACCGCGGCTCATTCAGAGCGATTGAAAGCTGGTAGCAGATGAATTCAACAAGTGAAACGTAGTTAAAATAATTCATAATCACAATACTGAAATTAGGCTACTGAAATGAAATTGAATAAATAATGCAAACATAAAACATTGCAATAAAAACATTTACAGACGTACAGACGATAGCTCAGTGGTCAACGCAACAACACGAGCTTCGAAGAGCTTCAATCGACCCGAGATCGAATCTCAATGTAGCATACATGTTGTTAACCGATGTTGGCCAACAGCGTTTATATTTAACCTTCTTGATGCTTAAATAGCTAACTGTTTATAACTGTTTACTTATTTAAAGTCAAGAGTTTACAACATAAATTTGCTACATTCCTGTAGAACCGCAGCCGCTGCACAAACGACAAAAACTGAAGGAAGATTGTCAGCCGATTGCATCAGAAAATGAAAATGAAGAAGCTCGTCTTTAGTCTGCTAAATTATTGTGTAATGTAAAAGAACACTAAAATTACTTAAGTCTGAAACCAAGTTCGAACATTTCAAGGTTTAAATAAAGTGTCGGGACAGTTTTTTTTTATTATTTAAAACAGGGTTGCATCGGGTTTGGAGTTTATTTCTTTTGCGATGCAAAATAAGAAACACTAGGCTAATCTTATTCTTGCGACATTTTAAATTTGTATTGCCAAAGAAATGACAGCTATATTAAACAATTAAAACAGTAGGCCTACAAAACGAAAATTGTCCAAAGCAACATAATTAAATTAAAACATGCGTTTTTCTTTGCCTCTCTCGCGCTGAATCTCTTTTTAACAAGTTTGTTTAGTCTCCCTCGCTCTCCATATGAAAGAGGAACATTAACACCTAGGCCTATTGTCCTGCGCGCACGATACAGCACTGAACTGTCCCTCCAACCCCCCACAGGCTATCGGAGTCTGAGGCTGACTTAACACAAAGAGAAGTCGCAATTCACACTTAAATCGCTATTCTAGACAGTGTTGATAATGAAGGAATTAAATGATTTAAGTTACATGTAGCCTAGTGATATTTCTGTCATAAGTTTATTACTAAATATTTCATTATTTCAATAATTGATGAAATAAAACTGGTTTGGGCCAGCTTTTTCCAAGCAAAACTAAATATAATCTGAAAAAACGCATGTTAATTTGTTGTCATGAACAAAATGTTCAACTCAATATTAAAGTCTACAGGGATCTTTGGATCCTTTCAACCAGGCATGCAATTTGTGAATTAAGTTTTTTTTATTTTTTTTATTATTCAAATAAATATCGAAACACGGTGCTTTGTGGTAATGCTGCTAAATTAAATAACATGTATTGAATAATTATGAACTTAAATGAAACAATATCGCAACATTTCGACAAATACATTATTTGATCTGTTTTTACATTTTAATTCAGGGCGATTTAGCCTGCTACATTTAATTAGAGCGAGATTTTCACCCTTGTCATTTTCTCATTGGGAAGCGCTTACAGGCTACATGTTTGAGTACATCCTCTGTACCTCTCGTTTTCATATGGATTACATAATCAGATAACATTTATTAGCCTGAATATTTAGACATTTAAAGGCTTTAGACAGAGCCGATTTCTTATAGTGACTGAGCTGAAGTGGCTTTCGGTTCATTTTTGTGACGCGCAGTTCCCGGAGACAGAGACGACAGATAAACTTTTGTCGTTAGCAAAAGTTCGAATAAAACCCGACTTTAGAAAAATGCATAGGGCCACTCGGCGTGGTCTGCCAAAACACTTAATAATAAACTTCAATATTTCATTCAAAATAATCTCAAAACGCTTTGTGAAATTTTGAAAAGCCGTGCATGCATTAAGGCCACTTGAACTAATGAACAACTGAAACGCTGGTTTTGATTTTATTGTTTGTCGTTGTTTAAACGTGCTTGTTGCATATCTCTATTTTATATTTGATATGGTCTATTGGTGAAGTAGCCTATAGCATTGATTACTGTGAAGGGAGGGGTGTGGGGATTCAAATAATTCAGCAGAAGCAGGGATGTTTAGACCAGAAGGAAATCCCCGTCCCTCCTGGCAAATCACACTTTACTTAAAACCATGTTTTTAAAAACTCTAGGTTGTAGGGAATCAAAATAATAATAATAATAGGCCTAATAAAAATATATATATATATATATATAGGCTATATATGTAAAATTACTTTTTTTACAGAACTGATTTTGAAATTACGATTGGTAGCCTCGTACGATTGGTACATATGCAACGTCGTTCTGTTGGATACTATTGTTCCTTAGTGTAAAATGGAAATGCATGGTAATTTTATTTTAAAAAATATAATCAAAAAACTGTAAGGTGTAACAGAGTTTTAGAGCTAGACAAATCTCTCTGCATTAATAAATATAAAATTTGCAGTAGACCATGTTTGATCGGGATTTGAACCCGTGTCATCTTGATGATCGAACCGTAAGTTCTACCGCTCAGCTATTAGACCTTTTACAGTTTTAAAAGATGATATCTTATCTGTATGACCAACAATTACGCAGTAAGTTCTTTTAGCGGTTATGAGAAAAATAAATCCAAATGAACGCGCCGCCGCGTTTGTCAAACTCTAATTCAACATGCCAGAATAAAGCCAGATTTTAGAATAATGCATAGCCACTCGGCGTGGTGTGCCAAAATACCCTAATTATAAACTTCAATATTTCATTCAAAACCCATCTCAAAACGCTTTGTGACATTTTAAAAAGCCGTGAATGTATTAAGGCCACTGGAACCAGGATCGTAACTGAAACGCGCTGCATGTCTCAATACAGGAAGCGCTGGTTCAGATTGTATTGTTTGTTGTTTAAACGTGCATGTTGCATATTTAAAAATATTTGTTTAAAAATAAATGTTTGTTGTAGGCTTATTTGTAAATTACCATAACTTGTAGAATTTCATCCTTACTGTTAATTGACATTAGCCCCACTTACGTTTTGATAAATGTCCCTTTGCGCCACCTGGTGGTCATTTCGCGAGCGACTTTGAAATGCGACTGGTTTATTTTTATTGTATTGGTCTACTTTAAAAAATAATACTTTATAAGACATTTATGGGAAAAGACTATTTTCTTTTCAAGATGTTTCCAACTGTAACTTTGAACCAATTCTGTAGACTGGCCCATATAGCATTTGACCAGG